ACACACACACACACACACACACACACACACACACACACACTGCTCGCTGGAATCTGTCGGGCCTGCACGGTTTGCCGCGCTCATGTTTAGTAAATCTTTTTTCCCGCCTTCTTCCTGCCCGCGAATAATGGCGGCCTGACACACACACACAGAGAGAGAGAGAGAGAGAGAGAGAGAGAGAGAGAGAGAGAGAGAGAGAGAGAGAGAGAGAGAGAGAGAGAGAGAGAGAGAGAGAGACAGAGACAGAGAGAGAGAGAGAGAGACAGAGAGAGAGAGAGAGACAGACAGACAGACACACACACACACAGTGGCGAGGCGTGAGCAAGCAAGAAGCAAGGTGCCTTGTCATCGCATGCTCGTGAATACCAGTGTGCTTGAAGCGAGCTTGAGTCTGCAGTACGTGCACATGTGCAGGAGTATTACGTGAAACGGCGTCTGGTGCAGCGTGTTGGTGGCGGAAATGTCCGCATTCGCCTGGCCAAGGACGACGGAGGTGGAGAGTGGATGACACGTGAGATCGTTTCAATGAATAAAGAGCAGACACGGTGAGAGACAGAGAGTAATGAACAAATAAGACACCTTCACACAGCTTCACACTGCACACCTTCACACACACACACACACAACCAACACACACCTGTACGAGGGTGTCGATGACAGCGTTTGCGCTGATGGCAGCGGCGCTGTGCAGCGGTGTGAACAGAAAATCCGTCGAGACTGCACGTGCGCACACGCAGCGAGGAGATGAGTGTTGTTGGTGTTGGTGTTGTTGTTGCGTGTGTGTGTGTGTGTGTGTGTGTGTGTGTGTGTGTGTGTGTGTGTGTGTGTGTGTGTGTGTGTGTGCGCGCGCACGAAATTGGCATGCGTTCATTCTAGCAGGATCCCCTCCTCCGCCATCCCAACATCAATGCATTGCTCTCACCTCCCGTTGTCTTTGCCCCCAATTTGATGAGGGTGCCAATGACATCTTGCTTGGCAATGCAGCTTGGGGTGCCGGGAGATGAAGTGACGCCGAATGTTTGTGTTGTGTGTGTATGTGTGTGTGTATGTGTGTGTATGTGTGTGTATGTGTGTGTGTGTGTGTGCGGTTGTCCAAAGAGGAGAAAGCCGTCCAAGGGAGAATGGAGTGAGCACAATGATGGACTGAAGCGGTGGAACGAGTACATTCACTCAACCACGTGTCGTTGCAAGCTCAAACAACAGCACGCACCTCTCCATGAAATGGATGGCGCGGGATAATGGGATTTGATGCGCAGATAAGAGATCGGTCACGTCGTGACCGCACACGTCAGACATCAACTGTAACACCTGCGCATCCTCTACACACATGTACGAGGGGGGGGAGCGCGTGTGTGTGTGTGTGGGTGTGTCGGGGGAGGAAGATCCGTGATTGGAATAGAGTTTAGCTGTGCACAATGTTGGAATCCCACCACGGATACGCACCCACCCTGAAACTCTCTCGACACAGACCTTACGACATTCCGTCACGTCTATACACATGCGTATCCACA